TACCAGTGTTTATGTGTGTTTTTGTGGTAGTAATCTTGGAGTGATACTGGACTGGTGACTCTGTGATTTTTGATCTAACGACACAGCAGGTTGACTTTTATGGTGTGAAATGAGTGAAATGTCAACAATTATTGGATTAATTGCCATGAAATTTAGTTCAGACATTCATGTCCTCCTCAGAATGGACTGCAATTACTTTTGTGATCTCCTGACTTTTCCTCTAGCACCACCAACAGGACAAAACACACATTGGTTTTGAGGTTATAAATGAAAAAACTAAGCATCAGTTGTACTTTTAGTGGCAATAAGTAGAGCTCAATGCATCGGCAAACAATAGATATATTGTTATCAGTATATATGTATAACTAGTAACTATAAAAATATGTTTGAGGTTATTTAGAAACAATCAGCCTTAGATAGTTTATCCACCAAAAAGCAATGACAAGTTTATTATTATGTGAAATGCTCATATATTGTTCACACGTCTACAAATTTAATTTAATCAAAAATCAGTTTATTGTGTTATCTGTTTACGTTTTAAAAACTAATATAAGGCGTCAATATCAGATCTTTAAACTATAAAATAAATGAAAAACGTAGTGTCTGTCAGATTTGACTAATTAGCAAATGTAATGTAAATGTATAATATGTATAATATAATATCAAATATATTGATGACAGGTAGAATATTTTATGTTTGGTTAAAAAGCTGATGCTAAACAGAAGTGCTTTAATTTGTATGAAGAAGTAAGGAGAGAAGTTGGAAACGTGGGAAACAGTTCAACTTGTATGAATTGTAGTTAAAAGTTGAATAAAACTAAGATATAGATCATTAATATCTTATAAAAAAAGATATTTAAGAGGTTGAATGAAGTTTCTGGCTGAGCGAGAAGACGAGTAGAAAAAGTGTAGGAAGGAGTAAAAAAAAGAAATACAAACAGGTTGTGAATGCTTCCAGTATTTACACCAAACTAAGATGGTAAACATCACTTGTGAACATAATTTAGAAAGCTGACGTAACCACAAAGCTGGTTTCAACAAATCCTGATCACCATCAACTTCTACAAACTGCTGCTGTATTAAACCATTAACAGCATAAACAACTATTAAACTGCTTTAACGTGAGCTGGGCGCCACTTCACCAGTCCTCAGGAGAAACGCATCTATTATGTTTAAGATGAACTCACCTGTGTGACAGAAGACGATGACTGTGAGTCCCCTCGGTGAACAGTGGGGGGCGCTGTCGGCTTCCGTCGGCGGTTTTCGCTCCGTTGTTTTGAACGCAGCTCGCCACGGTGCATCATGGGATACAAAAATGTCTCCAAAGAGTGTCGGCTAATGTGAATTTACGAGACATAACCGCGAATAAATACATATTTAACCCCTTTATTCTCCGCCGGTCGTAGAGCCGGTGTATGTGTATGGTGTATTAACTGTATTGTGCTGTCGCCATGGTGAGTACAGAGCCGTTTATTCTAAGAGATAGTAGTTTATTTAACAGCTTAAAGCTAATGTGTAGCTTTTAGCTCAGTAAACGAAACCCTGGTGGAAAGAGAGAAAGAGAGAAATTAACCTCTGAGTTTATTTAGTCTTTAAACTGAAGTCTCTCAACCGAGACACGATTGTAGGCACTTGGTTACATTTATTTTTTTAGGTTGAACTTTGTTGTGTTTAACTTTCTTTGAGTGAACGCCTTCTTCTTCATCTTCTTCTTCTTCTTCTTCTTCTGGAGCGCTGATCAGATTGTCTCTCTCTCTCTCACACACACACAGATTCATTGGGCACAAATGTTCCTCTTTCTGTTCATAGTCAACCAAGGCGGAGTCCAGGGTGTCCAGCTCCAGCTCCAGGGCCGATGAAAGGAGGAGATCAAGTAGCAGAGGTGAGACTGCTTTACAGACACATCCACTCTTATACTGTTGTGTGTTTTGTGTTTTTTTTCTCATTTTCACTACTGTTTCTAGTGGGAAAAGATGTCTGTCGATTAAAGATGTCATTGCGGACATTGTTAACTTACATTCAAACGTTAAATGCTGGTAGATTTTGACATGAGGCCCTTTTTCTTTGTCGTTGATCGTAGTAAACTGAACAGTCTTTGTGCTTGTCGGCATATCAGTCACTGCTGTTACCTCCTGGGACTGCAAAAGTCTTGCAAGTATCATATAATGTGAGGCTACAGTACAGGTTTGGGTGTTGTGTAGTGTATATAGTGAAAACATTTACCTTTTGGTGTTTTTGCAGTGTCGTATTGGACAAATCAAATAAACTAAATCATCATTTATAGTTAATACTTTTAAGGTCCAGAGTCAACATCACACTATAAAAAGACCTTTGCAGTTTCTTGTGAGAAATATTTCACTACAAACTTTATTTCTGCATTTTCTTATTACATTTTTTATTCTTTTTTTTCTAAATATCACTGGTTTCAATCTAGAATTTTATTTATTTCATTAGCAGAATCAAGAAAGAATAGTTTTTACTTTTACCTAATATCATCAGTGTATCAGTTTACAGTGATAGTTTATCCCCAAAGTTTCCATCTATTTTGGTTATTTTAGTAGTCAGTTGGGTTTAAAGTAGAATTTCTCAATAGTTGAGTTGCTGCATATCAATAAAACAGATAAAAAGACAGTAAATTAAAGAAGCTTCGTCTTCGTGTTTCTGTCTTCTGTTTATTTCAGGACGTGAAAAAAGAAAGCGGAAACGCAGCCGTAGTAGATCTTCCTCGTCATCCTCTTCCAGTTCGTCGTCGTCGTCGTCTTCGTCTTCGTCGTCCTCATCCTCATCGTCCTCTTCTTCATCGGGTTCATCACACTCTTCCAGCCGCAGTCGGAGTAGCTCTAGCAGTAGCGGTAAGTGTATCGTTGAAGTCTTCAGTTCTGATTTGTATTAATTTCAGATGATTTTTATGAGTATTTTATAAATCAGTCCACATATTATGTCTATTTTCTATCACCAGAACAGTTCCAATGTCCGTGAATTTATTCAATGTGTTGTTTTTGTTTCTTTTTAGACTCGCGCAGTAAATCCAGAAAGCAGTCTAAGAAAAGGAAAAAGGAGAAACAACACAAAAAAGTAACGTCTTGTTCATTTTGTACCGTGTATCAATAAAATAAAAGTCACTGAAAACTCAAGTCCGACTTACTTTTGCAGAAAGGGAAGAAAGAGAAGCGACACAAACGTAAAAAAGACAAGAAAGCAAAAGGAGGAGAAGATAATTCGGGACCTGTACAGATCTCCAAGGTAATTGCTCGTTAAGGTCCCATAAGACAATAATTCCTTTTCTTACCTGTGTGACTAAAAGTACGGATGTACTGTAAATGTATTCTAGTCATTGATAGCTGATGTTGATGATTTTAGCACATTTTTTCTTGCACAAACCAAACAAGTGTTAGAATGATATTACAGTGAATAGTTTCTTGTGTGGCAACTTTTAATTTCTATATTATTCCTTGGATGTTATACTTGTACGCACAAGCTTGTTGTGAAATTATGTCAGTCAACTTTATTTGATTTATGTTTTGCATTCTAACCTCCATAAACTTAGATTTTGTTTTTCTTTCAGTACTTGAAAGACCGGAAAAAGGGCAAGTACAGCATGATTTCAGGGAAGAAGATAAAGATGAAAGTAAAGAAGTCAAAGAAAGACAAACAGGTAATCTTAATTTTTTGCTTTCAAATAAACCACCAGGTGTACCTTCTTTTATAATCTGTGGATGGACTATTTGCCTTTGCTTGCACGTGCCTTTTTTCTTTTCTTTTTTTTACAGCGAGATAAAAATCGAGCAGAACTTCTCGAGTTCTTGAACTCTACCCTGTGATGCCACTGTGGATGCCAGTAGCGGTGCTCGGGCTCGGAGACGTCAGCAGAACTCAGGAAACAACAACTCTGCTTTCCAGGAGAAGAAAAAAAAACGAACGGCGTTCAGAGACGGAGACGATGAACGCGACTTACACCGACACACGGGGGGCAGTGCCGAGCCGGAGAGAGTGAAGGAGCTGCATCTCGTGCAGTGCAGTGAGATGCGTTCAGACCACTGGCTATATGTTCACCATGGTACTGCCCAGGTGGCTGATTCTTTCAGCTAAGTCTGATAGCTTTTGTTATATGAGCAGTGTTATCCATAATTCAGATGAAGGTGTCATTTGTAATTAAACAGCATCAGTCAGAGCTTAACTGCTTGTGGTTTGAATGTGTTTTCCCCGCTTTAAAAGGTCACTCCCCCGATTGAATCATCGATGCAGCCGAGCAAGAGTCTTTTTTTATATATATATTCCACACATTCAGGCGGCTACATTACCCAAAATGCAACTGAGCCTCCGTAAGGTCGACCGGAGATTCAGGCGTGTTATGCAAATAGCTGCTAATGTAGCCTCAAGCAGAGATGAGAGCGGGCTACAGAGAGCTGGTAAGCTCCACACCCACTGAATTATTATTTTTTGGCTTCATTTTAGTCCTCAGCCCAAACTGACGCTGCCTCAAGTGACATCACTTGAGGCAGTGTCTCCCTCTGGAGCCACAAAGGCCTTTATATAACTTCCTTTCACATATGCAGTAGTACTCCCCCTCAGACCTGTAAAAAGACTTTGATGTGTAACATTGGTGGAGTTCCTGTTTACCTGCTGGCTGTGTCAATCGTTCACGTCTCCTTTACCACATTTAGGACTGCCCATACATTTATTTTTTTAGACAACTGACCGTCATGTTTCTACAGTAAATGTTGGCTATGGGAACCACAGTGTCATCAGTGTGTACTGATCTTTGTGTACATATTGTTTAAAATGAAATGAGATCGACTGCGTTGTTTGATGATAACTGTAATTTCCCCAAATTCTGTCATGGGTAATGTTTTAGCTCTTTTATTAAATTGAGATATAAAATACAATCACTGTTAGTCCCCCTGTATCAGTCCAGTTGAAAGCTTTATATGGATGATGGAGTAAACCTGTTGTGTACTGTTGAATTTTGCTGTGTGGAAAAACGGAAAGAAACGGCAATAAACTGCTGGAAATATTTTAATTTTAAATATTTCACTCTAGAAGGTCTGATAACATTTCTATGTGTGTTTATTTTATTTATTTTACTGGATGCTTTCCTGCCTCTGAAGAACAACAGAAAAGCTGACCTTGCATGATGAATAATGATGAGTCCTGAGTGTGCTGTTGGCGGAAAACAAAGAGCGGTCTGTAGAGAGGATGACTCACCCTCCGAATGACATTTATGTGAACATCGACTGTTAACCAGGAATTTGAGTTATTAACATTTCTACATAAATCTCATACAAAACATTCTGTCGTTAAAGCTCATTCACCTCTGCAGTCAGTTTGTGTTGCGTGACAACATATTTCATTCATTCCTGCAACATTTAGGGGTTAAGAAAGCCTTTAAATTAGGGATGTCCCGATCTCCATCTCAGTCAGTTTAATATTGAATATCAGCCGATACGAGTCCTGATCCGATATTTCTATTTTCCTAAATAGTACAGATGCACAGTGCACACTTAGAGTACATTATAGTTATTCAAATCAATCCAACGTAAGCATATATGTTTGATAATTGACTATAAAATAACAATCACCTCTCTAATCTTTTTGGCCTTGTCGCTTTCTCTCTCTTACTTTCTGTTACTTTGGTGCAGCTTTGGCTTCAGTTGAACTGAATGAACTGTATTCTGTTGAGTGTTTTGTCGTCTACATCTTTTGCGCTGATTACATGAATAAATTACTCTTATTGGCTTTTTGCTCATGGTGTGAATGCGATTGTTCTCCAAGCATGAGCTGCAACTCTCACACTGAGCTCAGATAAAATGAGTGCAAATAAAATATCAAACAAACATACGATTCATCTCATACTGTGTTATGTTCTCAGTCGTTTGGGGATTTCTAAAGGCAAAGTAGTTGTCTGAACAGCTGCTGACAAACATACTACCCTTTAAAGACATTTTACACCAGCGTGAAAGGAACTTTAGATTTTAAAATTTTACAAATGGACATCCTTAGCAACGTTATATGATACAATAGTGTTTAGAAGCACAGAACGACGTCACCACTATGTGATAGCCCTAAAGACTTTTGATTGGTTCTGCAAAGTCCTCAGTCTCTATTCACTGACAGACTGACCTGTGAGTCTACCGGAGTGGAGAAGAGACAGCGGAGAGTTGACGACGGCTGCACTCAGGCTCAACATACCCATCGGTTAAACAAAATAAGCCTTGATCGCCTCGATACTGATCTTTGAGACTGGATCGGGACATCCCTACTTTAAATCACATAAATATCCTTACCAGGCTACAGTAAATGTCTACTGATAAGATCTTCACAGCAAGAGGCGAAAATCTCAAGCAAAGTTGAAACCATCACAAAAAAGGTGCAGTCAAAGTTACAGAAGATCTGAGCTAAACACCTGACATTGCCCTTTCAGGTGTGAAGACAATGCAGTAAAATGGCTCAAATGCTGATTGGTGTCATACTGAAGAGAGTTGGAGGATTATGGGATTCATCCTTCCTCGCCCGGTGCAAAGTGGACATACTGCAGTAGAGAGTCCTGGAGATCAGCATCTGTCCCACTCAAATGTCTCCCCATCACTGTCCCGTGAACGCCCCACATCAGACCACCTTACTGCTGTTGGCTCCTTTGTATCTGAAATCAGGCATGCTCCACACCCTCTGCGCTCTCTCCCCCCCCTCCATCCCTCTCTCCACATCTTCTGACACGGTTTTGAGGTCGCTCATCCCCGCCCCCTCGGCCACAGCGGAGGTCAGGCCCACCGTGCTTCCGAACGGATTGATCTTGATGCGGGACCTGAAGTTTATGAGGGACATGCTCATGGCACGTTTGTTGTTCCACTGGCGGGCGAGCCGCTGAGCTTCCTGCTCCTCCTTCAGGTGATCCAGAGCCTCCAGGAGGACGGAGCGAAACAGGCCGGGAACCTCCTGCACCTCGGGCTCATTGGCCTGCATGACCTCCCTGAACCTGTACAGAGAACACAAAACAACTCGATGAGACCGATATCGGACAATGGACAGTTTAAAAAGATTAAAATAAAATCATCTTTTTTCTCCACACAGTGTTCTTCCTTGTCAAAACCAGGCAGCCTGCATTTACCCACAATGCAACTCGGCCGCTGACAGTTCAGTCTGAGATTTGGGTGTGTTATAGCAGCAGCTAATGTAGCATCGAGCCACTAGCATCAAGCAGAGATAAAGAGTGGGCTTCTCAGGTCTGGTAAGCTCACTTCTTTCTTCCTCCAGACCCACAGATTGTTTTCATTTTCAAACTTGTAGCCTTTAGTCCCAACCGACGTTGCCTCTAGTGATGTCACTTGAGGCAATTTATCAGACTTTGATTACAACTTCGCACATGCAGTCGTGCTCTTAATAACAGGCTTTAGTGTGTTCAATCAGTGGAGGTCCTTTAACAAAGAACTTAACATCCCATGAATATCGTGTCTTTTTTCAGTGGTTTAACTGCAGTGATGTACAAGTGTACTCCAGGATACTGTGACATCACTGTCGAAAGTGGAAACAGGTGCGACACTTCTGACCGCACTCAACCAATAACCATCAGTGTGTTAATCCTGCTATACGTGATGTTTTTTGTCCACTTGTGAACAGCAGAAAGAAGCTATGAACACAACACTGACGTATTATCACCTTTTATGTCAAACATCAGTTTATTATTCAATACTTATCATTCATTTGGAGTCTGATATTTACTCTCCTTTTAGCTCTGGTCTGGTTTCAACCACCTCCTGAGGGAAATATCTGCCTCTTAAACTGCCTCGTCGATGTGGCTGCTGCGCTCCCCTTGTGAGTTTTGCTAAGGTGCTGAAAAAAAGCTGGTTTTGAGCCCTTTAATATAACTCTCATACATCCTGCTGTGAACATACACGAGTAGAACAGAATAATGCATGATTATTCTTTGTTTTTATGTTAGCTTTATATAAAAACCACCCTGATCTCTAAATATCAGCATCAACCAATGAAAAACCCATATCTGTCGACCACTCGTTGTGGAGAGCAAGCCCCTGTTACACAGTTAACCTTCTGTAACACACAGACATTAAAGTAGTAGGATAAAACTAAAACAAATACACAAATAAAGGGAAAATGTGTCAATAAGAAAACATGAAAATACACCACAACTCCAACAGATATCAACACATTTGAAATATCTTTCTAATTTCTTTCTTTGTCAGAATATGTAACCATGCAGATGAACTGAAGAAAGAACCTCAAGGGTAGAAATAGGATTTTTTCAGATTTTATTCCGGCCTTTGAGCAAAAAAACAACCACATAATGGCAAATGTTAGATCATCACAGTCACCAGGCCCCTGACTGTGTGGCCAGCACACTCCTGTTGAACCCCCCAATTACTCCTACTCTGACTAACAAGAGGTGCAGAGGCCTTAACAAGCCTTTAAATAAACCTGCTTCCCAGTGAGTGCTTCCAGTTAACGGATGATTGGCCTACTTTCTCCTCCGCTTACACAAACACGGTTACTCTGACGAGAAATGTTAGGATCGCATTCGTGGACAGAATCATATTTATTATATTGTATCAACCTGAACCTTTCAAATAACCTTTCAAATAACCTTTTAAATAACCATCCCTGTCATTGTTAGCAAACAGCTACAATGTGAATTTTATAATGAAAGTGGAAAATTGTGAATGAATACACATGATACATGATATCTATATATATGTATGAAGCCCTTCCGTCTCAGAGAAAGTGTTAATTACATTTCACAGCCAATCTGACTGCTCCTCCTCTGAAGCTCCACTCGCTCCCTGTTGTGTGTGTGACTTCCACTCAGCATTTAGCACCTCACAGCTCACTTACATTAACACCAGTCAAACTGCTTCTCAAAGAACTGACAAACTCTAATGAGACACCTGAGGCCTCAGCTGCTCTCTGTTGAACAGATGCTCGATCAAGCCTCGACGCTTAGTGTTTGTCTGTCCGTCAGCGAGGTGGCATGAAATTAAGTAACAACAGATTTTCATGGCGCTCAAAGGACAAGTTCAACTTGAGCTAAAGAACCGATCGGTTAATTTTGGTTGTAATTATGAAATCAATAACTTCATTTTTCTAGTGTACTTTCATGGTCAAGAAATTACTCACACGCACAGATTTTGTCAAAGCTGTTACAAAAGACAGTTGCAACACAGAAAAAACACGCCTCCCATATGCATTAAGTAGCATTTGTTTTTTTCAACTTTTCTCTTTTTCTAGGATGGCGAGGGCATGAACTATTTGTCCAATTTTCATAAGAAATACTTACTACTAAAAAATGCATAATTATGTATCTGGCCAGTATTGATTGCAAAATCAGCTCCTCTTCTGTGGATAAAGTTCATATTGATCTTTACTCCCTGAAGACAAGCAGCTGACAATGAGCAAACACTACTGTCCCATTTTTAAGTAAACTAAATATGTAGTAGTCTAACATGTCACTGTTTATAACACAGGGTGTTTATCCTTTGCTGGACGGGCTGCTTTAAAAAAAATGTTATTTTTTGCCACTTAATACATAAGCTGCCCTCTCATAAAACTAGTCAGTATTTTACGTCTGTCATAAGATAAAAGCTATTTATGTGTGTGTGTAGGAGAACCATGAGTGGGGGTACAGGCTGGACATGAGTGCTCAGCTGTGGGGGTTGAGGTGTGAATACCTCATCTGTGACCCAGGTTTTCGGTCGTGATTTCACCTGATTGCAGTTTGCCTGTGAAAAAAGGGGGTTGCTGTAAAAACAGCTCGTGGAAGAATGCAAAAGGGCTATTTTTAACACTTGTGTGCCTTTTTCTGGCCTCCTTCCTGCCATTTTATTCTCCCTGTAGGAGGTTGAATGAGTTTCTTTGAAGACTGCACACTCAGGGAAAAACTTACTGGAACTGGCTAATTGGCTCCAGCAATTATTTTGGACAGTGAAGGCAGCAAATTGGAAATCAGAGCTTTCAGATTTCAGTTTTTCCACTAATATTTAATCAGTGACTAAGTTTGAATATACATTTTTCTGTATGTGATTTTACATCCAAATGAGCTCTGAAATATTCATAGCTGCTTTCACTGTCGGTCAGATCCAAAAAGTGCTGTGACTTACTACTAATATCTAGTTGTTTTTAATATTTACTTTATAAAGTGATATATTATTATATAGTTTAACTACTTTATATGCAGTTACTATTTTAGAGCAGTGGTGGCTGCAAAATAGATTCAGTTCAGAAAAAGTAGGTATTTCACTCTGTAGTGGAGCAGAAGTAAAATACAAACACCTTCAAGCTCTATTTGAGTAAATGTACCGAACTTTCTGGTTTATGTGTGTGTCCTTACTTGAGTATGACGAGGCCGCAGCAGGGAGGCGGCACCTTGGAGCAGAGGTCCTCCAGGCCCAGCTTCTCCCCGGTGCTGATGCTGAAGGAGGAGCGAGGTGTGCTGGCCAGCCAGCTGTAGTCCACCCCGGTCTTGAGGCGCCGGTACTCGTTCTCCCTCTCTCTGTGCTGCCTCTCTGCCTCCTTCAGCTGCCAGCTGAACTCCAGCATCAGGGTGTCGGTGACCACGTCGGCCGGGTCACGCTGGGGGCTGCGGTGATACGGCTCATTCCAGTTGAACCAGGAGGCCATGGCCTTGTTCTTCTTCACAGCCCCCCTGAAGAGAGAGAGATGATCACATATAGTCACCACACTGATTGATGAGTAGATGTGACCTAATTAGAGATGTTTGCACAGATTCATTGTCTGGAGACTAAAGGGAGAATGTAAATTGCAGAGAGATTTGCTTTTGTTAAAAGTAATGAGTTGCCAATGAGACATTTTGGAAAGGTCATACAGTAATTGAAATCTCTGTACTTTGCAGAGCTTGAAATGTAAGCCCAGTAAAACAAAACAAACAATACAGAGTTGCAGCAGCTGTCACATTGAACATTTAATTGATTTTCTAGTTCTGTTGATGAAATGATTTTCAAGGCTGTCTGACTGTGCAGCAGCTGTGGAGAAGACCTTATATCCTTTTGTCGTGTACTTGTTTGCACAATTGGGCATCATTTATAACACCACATCCTCTGAACTCTGTTCCACTAGCGTGCTTTATACACATCTGGACATATTCCTAAAAGAGAGCGCCTCTCCCACCCACCGGTTCTTTGTTCGACAGGTGTCCGCTCCCACAGACGCTGTATTCAATTAAATATAGTCTTTTGTTTGTGTTGTTTTTTTGTGATGAAAGCACAAGATCACAAAAAAAAGGACCACTGATGAGTCATTAATTCAAAGTAAAAGGTTTTTAACCGTGAGGTGTTTTGGCATAAATACAAATACAATTTTTCAGGTATAAATGTTAAACTTTCTCTAGTTCCAGCTTCTTAAATGTTAATATTTGCTGCTTTTCTTGGTCATAAATGATCGTAAACTGAATATCTTTGGGTTTTGAACTGCTGGTCGAACAAAACAAGGCACGTTAATATGTGACTGTGGTCTCTGGGAGGTTGTAATCAGCATGTTTTCACTATTGATTAATCAGTTAATAATAAAAAAAAAAACAATCCCTGGATGACTCAATAATGAAAATAATTGTTAGTTGCAGACCTAAACTGAATATCTTACTGAAATTTGAAGAAATTCTGATGGGCATTTGTCACGTTTGTGACATTTTAAAGATTAATTAAGGAAATAATAGGGAAATTCATTGATATTTAACTGAATTGTTACCTGCAGCCCTATAGGTGTGATCTTCTCCAAAGTGCCTCAGATACAGTTTTATAAAAGCTCACACTGTGTTTTTATTTTTGCAACTGTACACATATTTGAATATATCTGTAGATTGTTTTGGTAATCTCTTCATTCTGTAACACTTTTCTTATTTAGTTTTATATAACTCTCTTATTTTAATCTGTTCAGGTGCTCAGCTGCACATGCTTTATATGACTGTAGTGAGGCTCTTTTTGGTGCTATAGGTCAGATTATCAACGTGTGCAGAGGAACAAAGCGACTGAGTGAGATTAGTGGCAGCTCTGCTCTTTCCTCTACACTAACCCTTCAAAATGGAGTCAAAAACATCCAGACAAGACAGTCTTTCAGATAGTTACAATAGCTCTGTATGTTACCACTGGCTGTCCACTTATTACATGTATTCAAATATTGTTTTAGTTAATATTTTTTATAGAAGAATATATAAATGTTGCTCTTAGAAAGCTGTATGAACCCTGCAAACAGGCAGAATAATCAATAAACAGGAGGATGGTTGCAACTGATGATGGTTTTCATTACCGATAAATCAGAAAAGGATTATTCTTTTAATCTATAAAATATCAGAAAACAATAAGACGGTGTCCTCCTGGTGTTGGGACATTTAAAACTGACTTATTTCCAATTGATGACAACAAATGAAATACAATTCCACATTACAAAATTCAACTTTCTTTCTTTCTTTCTTTCTTTCTTTTCCCCTATTATATCTCTGCTGTTCAGTAACAACCAACATTTTTCACACTATGACTGGTGGCTACTTTTATTCCAAACACATCCTCTGAGTATGTTGAGACCAGTGACAGTATTTATATATGAGGTTGAGACATCACCGGTCACAATCATTTGTTGCTGTTTACGCCTGGATTGAGAATAAACAGCTAATAAAAAACAAAAAAAGAAACATTTTCTTACCTCTTCTTCTTCTTTTTAAGTTTTATCTTAGACTCCACAAGAAATCCCTAAAAAGGAAGGAAGCCCCTCAGAAAACCAGAGACGGATGCTGAAGAGAGGAAACTGGCTTAATGAAAAGCAGAGAGAGAAGAGAATTGAATCCTCTCTCTCTCCCTCTCTCCCTCTCTCTGCTCTCAGTCCTACAATATTATCTCCACCTCTCACCCCCTCCTCCCTCCCAGGAGCCTCTCTGGCCTGCCCTTACTTGTTGCAGGAGGTTGGGGGCACCCATCTCCAACGGGAGCCAATGGATCACGGCCCCTGATGAAGTGCTTATGTTGCTTTTTACGATTCGCCGTTGCCATAGTGATGCTCCCTAAGCCTATTTGTCCACAATAAGCTCCATCAGCTGAAAGGGAGCTAGAGAGCGATGAAGAGGCAGATAAAGAGGACACGGTGGGTTGAGCAGCGAGATGGGAGAGAGAGCGGGAGAGATAGATAGATAAATAAAAGGATGTTGTTGTGAAGACTAGGTGAGTGCAGTGTGGGCTCAGCCACAGCTTACTTTAAGTGGCGAGTGGTGCAACATCTGCAAGAGGTCAGCTGGTGTAAATTAACTTCCCCACAGATAATGAGTCCCCCCCCCCTCGGAGCAGTCATGCATGAATTACAGGATGGGGTTTTGCTAATTGCAGGGAGGAAATGTTGTTGATGTGCAGATGATAGAGAAGCAGCCGAGGTAAAGAGTCCAGATTGAATGTGCAGTCGTTGTGTAGGTGGATATCAAGGTTTTCTTGGTTTATTCTGCGTGTGGGTGTAAAGCTGCTTTAAACTCAGACGGTTTTCCTTCTGCACATATTCACGGTAACCTTAAAATCCCCATCACATCCTCCTCCTCCATCCGTCCTTCCACCCATCCTCCTCCTCCTCAGTGTTACACCGCCAGATAAAATGCAGGGTGAACTATGAACTCTGTTTAGTCAGAGCACAAAACACCCAACATGCAATAGTGTAAACAGAAAGCAGCATTATTTCTAAAGAGTTTAAATTTATCTTTTGTGTTCTAAATTTAATATTAAGGTGCACATATCCACCATTAACTAGTTGCTTGCTGGCATACATATAAGTAGCATACTGACTGTTTATTAGTCATTATAAATCATATATTAAAGCCTTATTCTGCATGACATAATCTACAACTACTAGGCCATTAAGTAAGAGTTTTTCTCTCAGTGACCTCCTAATTATTGCTTATATAGTGAGGAAGATGTGATATTATGCCGTGCTCTGTATGAGCCTTATAAGAATACTAATCATTCCTTAATAACACTTAATAAATCTCAGAATATCCAGTTCTAAAGTGAGTATGCTTTGCTCAGTATCGGCCAAAGTCAAAACATTTTGAACTATTAAACTTAAATCAAACATAAAGTCTAAGATCTCAGTTTAGTCAGAAAGATTTAATTTAAAGGTATTTGAACTCTATATATGAATATGTATGAACACCTGTAGTTGAGGTGTTACTATGAGAGAATGTATGCAGGGATGAGAGAGTTACTTTAAAAATATAATCCTATATGATTCCTGTTCAAACTGGAGTCACCTGATATTAAAAACGTTCAGAGTTTGAAGGGTGTAAATCTCTGTGAACTGATGCTGTTTTACTGGTTTTATGTGTGTGATTATTTGCACACTTTGTAAAGGATTTAAAAGTTGTTATAAATGGCTTACATAGCTTAGCAGTAATAAGCTATTAACAAGGACATTTTATAGGTTGCCAGGTCGCCTCATTCGACCGATGTATGTGTTCATTGTCTGACTCCTTCATTTACAACAAAGAAAGTTTGACCTTTTACTCCCTATAAAGTTATGAATAAGGTTCATTAACCACCAAGATATTCGTTACACCTTTAATAACTTGTACTTAATCAGAAAGTTATTGATCAGTCTGACGCTGGATATCTTAATTGTCTAAGCTCACATAAGAAATTAACATAAGGTTATTTTATTTTAATATTATTTATGATTTTCCTCATCTCAGAGCCAGATGTTCGGCCTGTAGTTGTGTTTACAATCAGTCCATGAGGGCTTTGTATCAGCAGCACAACCCAGACACTGAAACATTGCTCCTGTTCAGGGCTACAGTGTCATGTTTTTAATCTGCATAAATAAATAACCACAGTGTGAGTGAGAGGGACGAAACTCTGACACGTAAAGGCAGCGTTTGTACCTCAGGCCCCGAAGGTGACAGATGGGCAAGGTAAGCTCCCGCTGTAATCCAAACTGATAACATTGTTAATCCTCTAAAGTGATTCCCTCCATCAACTCCATGTAAACCTCAGAGGGCTCCGACAGTGCGTCAGTGAGCACTGATGTTGTTTGGTGAAGGGACACCTGTGTGTGTTTCTGACGCATCTCAGGAAGCTTTCAGACCCTCCGCCTCATTTTATCTAATGTGTTTGTCTCCTACATCCCTCCTGTCCTGTGCATAAGGGCGTCACACTCTGTGTTTGCATTGACCCACAGTGGATCACCAGGTGGGTACAGTTTACTGCACTGGGGCCCATTCACAGGGTGTTCAGTATGTTGTTCTCTTAAATGTGTTGTTCTGACTCCCTGAACGTTGAATTCATTGTTTTATGTTATGTGTGAAAAGGTGACGTGGAAAGACACATAAAGTGAATTTTATAGGATTACCTTGATATTTAGACAAATATGCTAAGACGTTAAATTATAATACCAACCACTGATCCCACTGTCACTATGTAAATAATAAGACGGAGCCAGCAGCTGGTTAGCTTAGCTTAGCATTAAGACTGGAAACGAGGAAACAGTTCCCTAGACAGGAGGCGTGTCCGGCCTTTTTCCGGCCGGGGTGCCAAAACCAATGCAATTCCAATAGCACATAATTATATATATACAAATATTCAAACAACTGCTGGGTGTTTGGGATTAGCATAAAGTGGGCATGTCTGCAAAGAGGAAACTAGTTGGTACCCACAGAACCCATTTTCATTCTAAATCTGCTGTGATTTAGTTTTCTTACAGAGGTTAATGTATTTTTATTGTTATCATGTCGTACCTGGAGTGATGAAGTTGCTTTGTGGTACAGTAGGTTAACATCCCATAGAGAAGAATGGTTCTGTATTATTAAAGTATTCATTTGAATTAACGACCATGACGAGTTTGTTTGTTTGTTTGTTTGTTTGTTTGTTTGTTTGTTTGTTTGTTTGTTCCTCCCTTTTGTGTTTTGTGAGTCTCATTCAGTCTGCAGTTATATTGACACCTGACTTTGATGTAACTCCTTCAGTTTTTTTTAGACCAATGGGCATTGTGCTAAAAATAGACTTGGTTTGTCTCTCCTGTCAAGCTTTTTTTTTTTAGATACAGTATTTTGTCTCATTACTTTGCCTGTTAACACAATTTCTTATTAATCTGTTTATAATTCTGGAGGCATTTTAGTAGAAGTAAAAGAACTGAGCCACTTTGAGTTTTGAGCATTTACCTTTAATATTTGGACTTTTGTGTCTTTAGGCCTCTGCAGCCAAATACTCCTTTATACTGAATGTCCCTAGTAGTAAAACATCATACAAATGTTTTTTAAAGAATTAAATGAGGTAGGTGTTTTTTATTATATAGTTAGGATTTCATTATATTATTTATTTATTGATGTACCTTCTTTGAGCAACCCAATACAAAACAGCTGCAAAGACAATTTTGGAAACATTTCTTATTTAGAATTTATAAACTGTATATCAACTCTTAATAAATGGTTTATAAGACACTATAACATAGTTGTAAGCATAAATAAGGGCACTTTAAAGTGTTTATCAATGTATTTATTTGTATTTGTCAACAATTATAACTCAGGTGAAGATATATTCTATATTATTACAACAGATTTTTACTGTATTGTCATTAATTATATATTTTATATGTGAGAACAGCACCTCTACACTGTAATGTTCTGTTTTTAAACACATACACATGAGCTGATCCTGATATATAAACCTGATAATCTCCACGAGGTGATCAGGACAGATATTTATACATATATAGACAGAGAGAGAGACAGTGAGTCAGTGTGACTCAGGGGGAAGCACAGAATGATCTCATGAGTCTGAATAACAACAACAACAACAACAACAACAACACTAATACTGGTGAACAACAATCTGCATCATGCTCCTGTAATGTGGCTTTAATTAGGTTAATTAGCAAGTTCTTTGGTTAGTTTGTTAGTTCTTTAGTTAATTATTTATTTTTTATTTATGTTTTTTATTTATTTTGTTAGTTAGTTTGTTTGTTTGTTGAATAAATTTCTCCATTGTTAGAATTGATTGGCAACCATATGACTATTTAGGACAACTTGTAATTTATATATTTTCTGCCTCATTGATTACCCTACAGTTTCAGTTATTGTGGATCTGCACTGAAGATTGAAGTTAAAATCATTGTGTTCCAACTGATCCTCATCAGTCCTCATTACTGAACCACAATGAATCATCACAGTAAACCCGACCGCTCCATAATGAGCCTCATATATTATATTTGCTTATAAAGGTTCAAGTAATTTACAGTTTATTCAAAATATTAATAAAACACAGAAAAGGAAACAATAAGGAAGCCCTACAGCTCTACAAAACCTGACTAGAAATAGAAGTTTACACCACTATAACATATAGTAAATACTTTAAAATGGATTAGACACTAATAATACAGACACTGAATGCTTCTCTTTGTTTTCTGGTGTCATCTGGTGGTTATAAAAAATACAGTCCCAGCTTTTATTTTGAAAGGAGGAGGAACAGGATCACCCTTTACTCCCAGGTTGAATTTAACAGGTAACTGGGATTCAAAAGATTTAACTGATTAATTAATGCACTTTTAATTCCTTTATCACATTCACAGCAGCTTTTTGGTCCCTTTTTTTTATGTCTATCTGTATTTTATAATATTTTAACTTTAATTTATCTAATTATACTCAATTTGAATTTATTTTTTTCAATTTTTTTATGTTTTTAAATGTTACAATGCTTTACTTCACTTTATATAAAGCACTTTGATTTGCCTCTGTGTCTGACACATGCTACACAAATAGACCTGTATTCTCACAGCCTCAATATATGTATAAAATACTGATAATGATAAGGAACAGATAAAACTTGACATCAACCTGTGCCCTGGCCTCAATTTACCCCGTTTGACATAAGTGGCCATATTTCCAGGATATTTGTCAGCACCCAAACACACCACTAGAGGGTAGATTCTCACCACTTTAGCTGCTTAGAGACTTCAAACAAGCCTCATTATTTCTTTATCTCTGCTGTATCTTATCAGTTTGTTGGGACAATAATCATCACATGTGGTGTGAGTGTTATCATACAGTTAGTTGGGTGGAGAAACCTTTGTTTTTGTTTTGTTTCGTTTTGAGAACTCATACTTCACATTCTTGAGTTGAAAAACCTGAAAATTTTGATCAAACAACGGCACACCTCCTGAACAAATATT